TTTAGTTGTAACAACAACTCCTAAAAACCAAAGTCCCAAAAAGCACCATGTTGCTCAAAGGCATTAAAATCTCAAACGCTACACACCAAAATACAAAATAGGGTTTTACTACCCACAGCAGTCATCTCCATCGAACACCGAGGAGAACTGTTTAAACTTAGGGCCTTAATAGACCAAGGATCACAACGATCTTTCATAGCGTCTAGAGCACAAAATAGGCTACAACTACCAACAAAGCAAGCCAACTTTGAAATTATAGGAATGGGCGGAAGAGTAGTGCAAAACTCTAATAAAATCTGCCCCATTACCTTAATTTCCCCCTAAGCGGATAGGAGAGTTAAAGCAGAAGCTATAGTCTTACCGCAACTTACAAATACGCTTTCAAGCTATCACATAAATAGCAAGCATTGGCAAAAGGTTTCACATCTAAAGCTAGCAGATCCCAACTGCAACACCCCGCTCAAATAGACATTCTATTAGGCAGCGATCTCATACCTCAGATAATACTCGAGGGTGTAGAGAAAATTTCAAACGCACTATTGGCACAAAATACTATTTTCGGTTGGATCCTAAGTGGACTAGTTACGGAACCAGTTACAACCATGGCCACTCAGGTTTAGGAAATCTCAAACGAATACCTCAATTCACAATTAAAGAAATTTTGGGAGTTAGAAGAGCTCCCCCCTATATCAATTATATCCCCAAAAGATCAGTATTGTGAAGACTTCCACAAAGCCACAACTACTCGATCAAATAATGGCCGGTGCGTCGTACGACTACCACCAAAGCCACAATTTTCCAACACTCTACAAATTGGCACAAAAAACCAAGTCATAGCTTCTTCTGACCACCCCAGTGTTAAAAACTCAAATATTGTATATATAATTCAACCAAATAATCCAAATATACAATATAATACTAAATATTCCAAAAGAAAATTTGTTGTGCACTAATTTCCTTAAATTTGAAAAGGGCAGTACAACATAAAAATACAGGGGATCCAAAGGAATGCGATATCTGACCAGTTTTAATATCCTACTGAGTCAACATCCGCATTATCCGCAATAATAATTTCGACCCCGCAGGATGGCTTTCACCAATTATGATACAAGCGAAAATCCTTTTCACAATTCTCTAACAATCTAAACGATATTCGAATCTCCCGATTCTTGGCCACAATTGCCCACGTCCATACATAATATCATTCGCAGCATAGTTGTTCTAGACATTCAAAAAATCGACACCTATCTTACTATAGTGGCTCATAGTTGACAAAATGTTCATAATTATGAAACAATCAAAAAATTAAGTTAAGAGATCACCATACGCCCAATGTGATACAGTAGTACAGACAGATACACCTAGACTTACAGAAAGCAAAGGTCGCAGTTATCGCATCGATCTAAGCGCTCCTCATATGGGTGGTTAATGGGAATCAGCTATAAAAAGCTATCCTCCTACTTCAAAAAAGTATATATGTATATATGCAAATATAAATATATCGAATTTACCACATTACTAACTTGAAAAGAAGCCGTTCTCAATTCACGGCCAATCACTGTACTCTCGCAAGACCCCTCTAATTTCTCTGTCCTAACATCAGGGCATTTACTCAAAGGAGCACCCATTCTGGCCATATCTGAGCCAGGAGTGGAGTCGCTAACCTTAATAAGCCGATGGTAAATGCATTAATTACAAAAATTAAGTCAAATAAAGTGTATACGTCTAAAGCGCTGTTATTTTTCTTTGTGAAAGTCCAAATAGGGAAATCTAGTTGGCACCCCAATTATTCAGAAGGTATTAATTTAAGCTAGGTTAGGTTAGTTTAGGGGGTCGATTCCAAGAAGGATCTCACTTGAACAGCTTAAAACGCCGGTCCGTTGTGGTACCTAGAAACTCTTATAAGCTGGATCAAAAGACCCTTACAAGTCGACAAAATGCTTTGTTTCTACAACAAACTTGTTAGGACGGCCAATATCCACAGTAAATTCCTTGTGCTTTAGAGTTATCGCTAGCCATGACCCTGCCTTTAATATAGGCACGCTGCGCCCGTAACAGTTTACCCATCAGTATTCTGCTCCTAATGTACAGATCTGAAGTCTTTTGAAATCCCTTATTTTTGCATGGAATTGAATGCTTTAATTTTGCACTTTTCGTATCCAGCCTTATACAAACACTTCCAAACGGTTTTTGTGCAATGCTTAGGTCCTGGACATTCGTAATCGATGTTTGGACTCGGCGATTTCTTACGTCTGACTTACGTTTTCGCCCTTATCGAAAAAGAACTGTAAGTATAGGTATTTTTTCTTTGGAATGAACGAATTATAAAACTGTCAGTAAAGGTTTTTTAGTACGAAATGTCGCCTTTCTCTCGCCATCTAGCCGAACCCGATCGGACTTATACAACGCAATACAAATGAATAACGCCATCTATTGGAAAAATAATGGATTTCTTTTTACTACACCTAATATTTAAAAAAATAATGTATGTTACGTCCAAAGATCCACAGTATATAGCTAGTTTCGAAAACTTGAAGGCAATATGCTCGTCTGATCCAATTTTGAAATTCCCAGAATACAATAAAAAATTCACTATTACAACCGTTGGAAGTGACTATGTAATAAGGGCTATTCTTACGCAACAAGGTCAGCCAGTGTGCTTTATTTTTAGAACGTTATACCTATAATCATGAGTAATAATACGCTAAAACAGATAAAGAATTTTTGGAAATTATATGGTATATTCAAAAACTTATTTTAGGCCATACATTTATTATAAAAAATATAAAAATTTTACCGATCATTGCCCAAATAAGTATTTGACTAATAAATACAAAGGAAAAGAATTTTCCCAACGCCATCAAAGGTGACTTCTGAAACTTCAAAATTATAATTATTAAATTGAATACCTCAAAGGTAAAGATAATGTTGTGATAGGTTTTTTTGAGTAGATTAGAAAATTCACCGAAAATAAATGAAAACAATGACAATGAGTAAAATCTAGTTATGTCTGATACAATCTTTTCTGCAGATAAGGATAGTTAAATACAACATAACAGAAAGATATTAAAAATAAACCCAATGGAAGATGAAAATACAATTAAAAATACTTTAAAACGAAATATATTTAAAGAAAAGATAGGATTTTTTTCAGAAGCTTCTGAACCCGACCATACCAAAATTCAGTGAGTGTTAATATTTTTGTTTGCTTGTGACGGCAATATTAAGTCTACTTAATGCACGAAAAGAGCTTCTGAAATACTTGCATGAACAAATTTTCCTTTATCATAATAATAAATCTATGCCCAGCAGTCTAAATGAAACATATAACCCACTGAAAGATAAAATATACTACCCTAAATTTAAAGAGCATATTCAACTAATAAATAACAACTGTCAAAAATGCAAGTAAATAAAAGATGACAGAAAACCCTTTCGACCAAATTTCAATTAACAGAAACCCCTGAAAATAAATAGTCTTCATTTTAAATAAGTGAGGAAGGGTAAAGTTCGGATGTAGTCGAACATTTGATACCCTCGCAAAGTCAAACGGTATACTCGTTTGAGATATTTTTCTTGATTTGCATAGTGGAAAGTGAAAGAATCTGAAAAATCAGATGGAACTTAAAATGGTGTTATATGGGAAATAAGCGTGGTTGTAATCCAGTTTCGCCCATTTTCACACTATAATATAGAAATATGAAAAGATTGTTATGTAATAACATGTTAATAATGTTGGTTGAAATCGGTTAAGCAGGTCACAAGATATGGGTTTTCACCTAAAAGAGCGATGCCACGCCCGCTGTCTAATTTTGAACGCGGTTCCTATAAAGTCGTAAAAAATGCGGAAAAACTAAGTATATACATACATCTATACACAACAAAACAAATAAGAAAGAACTAAATTCGGATGTAACCGAATAGCACTTTGCATAGTGGAAAATGAAAGAATCAGATGGACTTCAAAATGATATTATATGAGAAATAGGCGAAGTTGTTATCCGATTTCGCACTATAACATAGAAATATGAGAATACCGTTATGTACCGAAGTTGGTTGAAATCGGTTAAGCAGATCCCAAGATATGGGTTTTCAACTAAAAAAGGGCGGTGTCACGCCCAATGTCTAATTTTGAACGTGGTTTCTATAAAGTCATCTCATACTATCCGGTATTCTGCTCCTAATGTACAGATCCAGAAGTCTCTCCAATCTAACACAGTTCGCGTAGATGGTGACCAGCCAGCTGAAGAAAGTCCAAGAAAGCTTGAACATACCCTCCTGAAGCTCCCATAGTGGCACTACTTCAGCAGAGTTATTTAACGGAAAATGAGCATCTAGGAGTAGCTTCAACGACTCCACTGTACTCGTTGTTCAACCAGTTTCTTCTTTTCTCAGATACCCCAATGAAGTAGGATTCTTTTCAAGAATGCGCATAAACCGCGAGGGCTCATGACAGCCTTCTACACTGCCACAGAAGGCTATCCACGAGCCTCTCTAGGCTTTCTTCAACGCGGAATTGTAAATGGCCAGTCCGGCCTTGTACAATGCCCAGTTCGTCACTAGAGCCACTTTTACGAGCTTTGCTGACTTGTCTACTCGAAGATCTTATCTCCGTTAGCTCCTAAGTTCTCAGTGGACAGGAGCTTTCAAGAATTGTTCTACTAACAGAGCTGAAAGCCTCGACGAGCTCATCAATTGCATCCGCAGATAGAATCGAATCCCTGTCAAGTGCGGTTGGAAGAACTGATCGAAGCTTTCTGCAGTACACGACCCAGTTGGTATTCCTGAAATTTCTATAGGCTTTGAGCTCCAGGCGCGAGACGTTCAAGCTGAAACCAATATATTTATGATCGGAGAAGGAATGGTCGTCTAGAATCCAACATTTCGAGATCAAGGAATCAATTTCCCTCGAGACTAGGTAAGCAGTTTCCCCTATTGCATATAGAAAGATCTATACTACAAATAAAATCAAAAAGTGACTCACCTCTTGCCCTAATGTCCGAGCTCCCCCAGATGGTGTGCCTTGAATTGGCATCCGAGCCTATTAAAACTGCGGCCGATTTATGTCTGGCATCTGCCAGAGCCCTCCTTAGCAGTTTCGGAGGTGGCTCCACCTCGTCGTCGTGTGGCATGTATGCTGAGACAACCCAGAGTTCTCCAGCACTGTCCTCCAGCCTAGCTGTGACGACATCCGCGTTGCTGAAATTAGGCAAAAGAAAAATGGTAAGTTCGTTTCTGACCATCAAGCCGGCTCTGGTTCTACCTGTGCTGCTTGCCGCCAGCTTATGGCTTTTTGTCCTTAAGCAAGAGATCCCGTTGCTGCTCAGCCCCGATTCCTGGATAAGGACAACGTCGGCTTCGTCCCGTCCTAGACGAAGCAATAGATTGGCGGAGGTCACCTTTGAGTGCTGGAGGGTAATTTGGAGGATGCCCATTATCCAAACTCCTCTCCAGCAGTACGATTTCCGCACCATCATCCGTACTATCGACCCCAGCCTTCTCGAACAGGCGCTCGAGACTGAAGACGAATCCATCATCACCTGACGGTCCGCTCCCATGCTCACCACTCGATTTCACTCATTCCCATCGTTCGCGTCGCTCAGTACCCTTTTGGCCCACTCAAGTGTGCTAGTATGCTAATCAGATTTCTGATCAACCTGCTTGCCACCGTAGCGCTCCCAAATCTTGGCAGCCAACGGACGGTCCGAATTTAGCTTTTTAGCTGCGATCACGCGCTTCTCCATTGGGCCCTTAGCGGTCGCTTAGGACCCCGCGTCCTCTATAAGCAAAGGTTCCTCTCCCCGCCTTACCGCCCCTAGCGACGGTAAGCCAAGCACCCCCGGAATTTTTGTCCTCACCCTTTACCGGGGACGATTTCGTCCCCCTAGGTGAAGATGTCCCTCCAGGGAACCATGCACTTTTGCAGAGGTCGGTTTTAACCTGCTTCCTCCCTCTTCCTTAGTTATGTTGTTGTTTTTGTGATTCATTGAAATTAGGTCCCCACTCAGAGCCGCTATCCATCTCCTGGAAAGGTAGTCGCCTTTTATGCTCCCAAGGATGTCTCAGTTACGAGGCCAAGGCAAGGGTTGACGCACGCCCTTAAGAGGGGAACGTACTGTGAGGCCTGCCATGGTTTTAACGGGACGGAGGCGGCCTTGGCATTAGCCCATCAGCCATTACCCTACCGTCCATCTCAAGTTACAGTTGAGTAAACTTAGATATCGTAATGAAACATGGTACGCGTGTTCCTGTGCAAAAAAGGGAGTGCGAGTTTGTAGATGGGGGTAATTGGACAGCTGCCACACCCATCAAACAGCCGTAAGCGTGGCACCACTCACATATAGGTGAAAACACATATCTCAGGACCCGCTCGACCGATTTCAACCAAATTCGGTGGGTATCATTATTCTGGAATTTTTATGCAGTATTTCGAAATTGGTCTATAATCACGCCTACTTCCCATATAACACAATTTTAAAATCCTTCAAATTCTTTCACATTCCAGTTGGCTAGATGAGTTACGCCTCCCCCCTCCACACACGCCACTGCGCGCCAACACACCACATCAACACGATCCACAACAGACATCACACCACTCAGACCACCCACACATACACATCACATCACACCACAACACTACACAACTCAACACTAAAAAGGGGCTAACAGAGGACAAAATCTTTCCTTTTTCGTTAGCATTTCAAGCGAACAAGACGTGCCACTTTTCCGCCCTTGCGCCGTATATTTTCGACATCAGCCGTGACCGTGTCCGTTTGGTTTTTGTTACGGAACAGTGCCAACAAGTGAAAAATGAGTAAGTAATCAGACTATTTATTTTTCAGCCATAGTGGCGGCACTATGATGAAAAATAAAAATCATAATTCGAAAAATAAATAAAAACAAGACATAAGTGCTGTGTGGTGCAGTGGAAAAACTTATATCATAGAAATCGAAAAACAAGAAATATTATATAATTTATGAAACAAAAAGTGCTGGAGCAAAAACAAAAGTGGGTAAACGTTTCTATACACGATATAAAAACAAACACATATAGTGCTGTGCAGGTGCATGACACATATATATATATACAGAAAACAAGAGTGACAAAAACCATATATATATCACAAGAGAAGTGAAGTGAAGTGAAGGGACACAAACATACATATATACATAAAAAACCAGTAAAACCAACAACGTGCGCGAAATATTAACAAATTAAGTACGGGCGCGAGTTTCACAAAAATACACATAAAAAGACAGAACGGGCGCGAACTAAATAAAAAACCATACTAGCAACAACAACCACACCAGCTCACCAAGTCACCCACCGCAGCTAAGCAAAGGAGTGGAAAAACAACGAAAGGACACACAGGCATATATATAAATTTGTCCCAAACCTGCGAAAACCAAAGTGAGTCGTATCGATTCCATTTAGTATATGTATATCCACTAATTATATGTATGTTTAAATTTATGCCTTTGCGGTTTATTTTTACAAAATCCGTCTTAATAAAGGCAATAACAAAGAGCGGTTACCAAACTGTTTATATTTCGGTTTATTTTCCGGTAAAACCGAAATACCGCTAACAGATAAAACAGTTTGGTAAAAATATAATCCAAGGAACTTTGATTGCTAACTGCTTACCGTTGTGTTCAAATACACAAAATATCTCTAAAACTAAATTCAGTATTTACTTGCACCAATTTTCAGTACCCTTATACTTAATCAAGTATAAGGGATTGCGTAAAATAAGCAAGGCAAATCAAAGCAAAAACAACCAACAAAGCGAAAACGCCAAATAAATTTAACATATACATATCATATTCACATATATACATACATATCCTAAAATTATATACATACATATATCATAAATTTTGTTTGAATAACTGCGTAAATTATTCTACGTTTCGCGGTCTTTCCACTGCGTACATATATCCCGCACATATATTGACGTGATACATACACATATACATACATTTACAGAATACCTGCGGTATATTTTCCTTTCGCGGTCCTTTCGCACTGCGTACATATACACGCTCGTTATCAAAATACGTTAATACTTCGCTTCAAAGTCCACATTGGCAAATATTCCGCAATACCCTTGTTCTTGTTAAAAAAACAAGTAGTTGCATATAACATATAATATTCTAAGTCCAATTGGCACATATTCAATACCCTTGTTCTTTGACCAAAACAAAAGGATTGCGCAAAATATTTAAACATAATATATTATATTACATAAATACATATGTACAATGTACAAGTGCATGATCTCTAAGACGAGCTCTCAATTGCGCATAACGTCAATTGCTTGTCGGTTCTCGACACAAATATCCCACAGACGGCTGGGACCCAATACCGTAAATATATGCACCGCACCAGAAAATCGTTACTTTTGTGGGGTAATCCTCTCATCTCGAAAAATGCCCAACGTGGCAACAGAAGATTTTAACCCAATACGAAATAGCAGAAAGGGTAGATAAAATGGTCAGAACGAAACCGTTCAACACGACCTAAATAAGGCTTCCACAGACCCAAGCCAGTAGCACAACAATTTAAACAGAAGCTTCTTCAGAAATCAAACGTTCACATCCGAACAATACAAACAACGTCATGCGAACTATGTACAGGGGCATAAGCTCAAATCTTGCGAGATTCAAAAATGGAATATTATCGACCGAAACATTTTGTAAAACAAAGACTGTTACAAATTGTCTTACACATGCACTTAAAGAGTGCGAGCAAATTTAATTGCGTTTGTTAACGACACATTCAATGCTATTACAACACTTTTCCAGCTCACCCCAAACAGCGAAATATGAAAGACCACGGGTTTAGTTCGAAAATCAAAGTAGAGTACTACACCCCAGAGTCGTCTCCATCAGACACCGAGGAGAACTGTTTAAACTTAGGGCCTTAATAGGGGATCACAACGATCTTTCATAGCGTCTAGGGCTCAATAGGCTACAACTGCCAACAAAACTAGCCAATTTGAAATCACGGGTATGGCGGAAGTAGTCAAAACTCAAATAAAATCTGCCCCATTACCATTTCCCCAAGCGGATAAGCACATACAAGCAGAAGCTATAGTCTTACGCAACTAACAAATATGCTTCAAGCTATCATATAAATAGAAGCATTGGCAAAGGTTTCACACTAAAGCTAGCAACTGCAAAACTCCCGCTCAAATAGACCTTCTATTAGGCGCGATCCATACCACAGATAATACTCGAAGGTATTGAAATTTCAGTACTATTGGCGCAAAATACTATTTTTGGGTGGATCTAAGTGGACTATTCCGGAACACCCATGACCAATCAGATTGAAATCTACAACCTCAATTCACAATTGAAAAATTTTGGGAGTTAGAAGAACCCCCATATCAATCACAACCCTGAAGATCAGTATTGTGAAGACTTTACAAAGCCACAACTACTAATCAGATAATGGTCGGTACGTCGTACGACTACCACTAAAACAACAATTTCTAACACACTCGCCACTCTCCACTTTGCAATACAGCAGTTTTAAGTATGGAAAGAACTTACTTAAAAAGGTGAGCTTAAGCAAGAATACGATGGTGTGTTAGAAGAATACCAATTTAGACCACATAGGAGGCCATGCGAAAAATCATAAATGGCAAATATTACTCATTTGCCTCATCACGCAGTAGTAAAGCCAGACAAAACTACTAAAGTAGAGTTTGTTTTAATGCATCAAGATCTACCTAGAAATTCCTAAATGATATTCTATTTACAGACCACGCTCAATCAGATTTAATGCTACTATTTTTGGCGTATTTCAAATACGTATATAACGGAACGTTGAAAAATGTATAGACAAATAGTCGTACATAAAGACGATCAAGATTTTCAGCGAATTATTTTCCTAAATCTCCCAATAGTCACTCACTATAAATTGAAAAGTTAGTAGCGTCAACTGCTCATATTTAGCCATTCGAACACTGCACGAATGGAAAACCAGAATATTCTGCCGCAGGTGTTAAAAACACAAACGTATGTAGACGATATCCTGTCTGGAAGTCACAGTCTTCCACATACGAGTCACTAGCCAAGTGACACAAGCCCTCAAAACTGCAGGGTTTCCGTTAAAAAGATAACGGCGAACCACCCTAATATTAAAGGATATACCTAAAGAAAATCTGGAACACTAATTCAAATTCGAGAAAGTACAACAAAACTCTGGGATCCAATGGAACGCGATATCTCACCAGTTTCATACACTACAAGTCAATATCAGCATTATCCGTTATAACAAAACGATTTTATCCTCTGTGGCAAAACTTTCGACCGGGGTGGCTTTCGCCAATTATGATATAAGCGAAAATCTTGATACAAGTATGGCTAGAGAGATACAAATCCACGATAGAGCTATTTCCCGAACACAAGTCCGAAATACAGGCTTCTGATGCCTCGAAAGGCATACTGTGCCACTATCTATGTGCGC